CACAAGAAGTCAGTCTCAATCTAAGTCAAGTTCACAGTTTCCTCCTTTCTTTTTTATATAATTTAAATAAAATAAGTTGTACAGATTTAGGATTTACCTTGAGATCTGTGATCCCTTTTATTCATGAGTTTCTCCCCCTCCCCCCACCCTCTGTTTTGGTCTATAAATTGCACACGATTATCCTTTTTTCTCCCAGAGAGCAGCTGGTGGATTCCATCTGACTTCCCCTGGGTTGTCGTGCAGCTCCCTATCTACCAGACCACCAGAGCCCCCTTATAAATATAGAGTTGGTGCATTTCTGTGGGCTGGAGTGCCAATTTTTTCCTCTTTAGATTTTGTACACACCTTTTGAGAAGTGAGATAAGCTTGTTGATGTTTATATATTTATGCGATCTATCTGCCTTATATTTTTATCCTTACACCAATGCCATATTGCCTTTATTATTACAGCTTTATAGTAATTCTTGGAATCAGAAGTAATATAAGTATTCCCACTTTGTTCTTTTTCTTTTAGAAGTCTGTGCAATCTTTTGGTTTTTCTAGGTTATTTGCATTTACACAGAATTTTTTTTTAAGTCAAGAATAAACCATAACTCTCATTTATATGTGTCTTTGGTAAATAATAAAAATATTGTGTAAAGTATTTTTAAATTACTTGAGCTGTTGGATATTCCATAATTATAAAGATTTTACTGTTAATTTTCGACTTTGGTATTCTGTATTCAGTGCTGACATACGGCTGAAGAGCATCAATAACGATTGTTGAACCAATTTGCCGAAATCTCTAGACAGGCTTTTTGTGATCTGGATTGTGCTGTGTGAAATCTGCTGAGCAATTTTGAGAGAATAGATCCCTTAATATTATTGCATTGTCTAACCATGAACTCTGTATATCTCTCTTTTAAGTTTTCTTTGATTTTTCTCAAGACTTTGCAGATTTCAGCCTGTAAGTTTTGTACACTATTTATTACATTTATTTAAAACACTTGATGATGTTTGTTACGAGTTAGGAGCTGTGGTGGCCTGTTGGTAAAGGAGCTGTGCTGACCCAAAAGTATGTATTTCTGGTTTGTCAGCTGCTCTGGGAGAGAAAGACGGTCTCCTCCTCTGCGA